TTTTATGACAGCCACACTTTATCCTTGCATATCGTGGCTATTTCCTTAACAAAGAAACTTTATAAAAAATAATTGCCTTGAATTGGATTTGAACCCCAGACACACTAAACGAGCGCGTTACCCTTGCACCACGGAGAAGATATACGAACAATGCCTGAATAAAATCAAGTAATACTAAATTTAGATTTTTCACTGCATTTCGGGTTAATTTCGAGGTTTTTTTTGTTCAAGATAAACCTGTTCTTTAACATTGATGTAAAAAATTTAACAAAAATCTTCTCGCCAAAAAACAGTCCGACATGTATATATTCCACTACTCGACAGTCAGATTTATTTGTGAAATAAGCTCTCGACATCGCGTAATTAAAATAGCATTTTCATGATTAAAATGATATTCATCCGCGTAAATTTGTGAATGTGCATTCATTGACAATTCTATAAAAGCCAAAGCTACTTTTAAACTTTGAATGCGTTGTAATTTGTTGGATACTTATAACAAAATGAAAATATTTCTTTCTTAAAATCGGTAGTTTTCAGGTGTTTTAAGAACTGTTTGTTGTTATTAGTTTTGTCGTGAAACGCTGTGTCAGAGATTGAATGTTAGCTTTGTATTCCTAATCTTCGATCAAAATACAAAAAGGAATGGTAACATTCAAAGAAACAACCCCCAAAGACCGCAAAAAAAAAACGGTTTTTGGTTTTTGGGTTTTAAGTGGTTGTAAAAAAAAAAATGAAAAAAAGGGAAAAAAGAAGAAAAAAAAGTAGAGAAAAGGGGGAAAATTCGGGGGCTATAAAAAAAGAAAAGGGGAGCGTTCTCTCCCCCAACTTTATTTAAAAGCAAAAAAAGGGAAAAAAGCATAAAAAAAAATTTTTTGTTTTTGCCCCTCGGTTTTTCAAAAAGTCGGGGGGAATGAAACCCCCACTTTTTTTTTCAAAAAATTTAAAAAAAACCCCTTAAAAATGGGGGTACCATGGGTAAAAAAGGTATAAGGAGTAAAGTAAAAATGGTTTATAATGCTTGGGCCCTTTACCAGTCTAGGAGTTTTGGAGATTATTTAATAAAAATCCAATAGTTTAAGGCAATGGTTGGTTTGTATGGAGTGGTTTAACTATCTTTTTGAGACAGTTCTAAAGTTACTTTTACTTACCTGCCCTTCACATTTGTCTTGCTGTATCATGATTTTGGGTTTGATTTCGTTAATTTGAAAGAAAGTTACAGGGTTTTAAAAAAACAACAACCCTTTAAATCAGTTTTTAAGTTTATTTTCACTAAGTCACGGCAATAAACCCTGGATGGTGGAAAGTTCTTGACTATGGGGCTGCGTATCATGAACGTTGCCGATCGCCTTTGATTTGTCTTTATTCCCCCAGTTTTCCTTTTTTACTCTTATAAACTAGCGACTCTCAATTTCTTTTTCCCACGCGGGGAAAGACTTTCAATATATTGGTAACATTAAAGCACAGCTCAATTGACCCATCACTAGTACGGAGGCCTTCCAATACGAAAAAATTTATCAGGAAATCTGCTAAATCAATAATGATAATAATAATATTAATAGAGCCAGATTGTAACTCTTTCCCGACCTTCTTGATAATGTTTACCATGTGCATGAAACAGGTATCAATAACCTATAGTTTTGAATGTCTAGATCAAAACATAGTAATCTTTTCATCAACAAAGTTTACATCCAATGCGGATAAGTATGCAAGTATGTATGTAAAATGATAAATATTAAATTTCAGATCTATCTAGCAAAGGAGATCGATTTTTTCTTAAAGAATTTTAATTATGTGCACTAGACATACATTAGAAATATTATCTAATAAAGTTTGAAGCCTAAATGTCCTATAATGAGGCCGGATTCATTCTCTATTTAGCCAGTGCTTTCAGTGCTTTGATCAGAGTTAAAGAGAAAATTTCTGGAATAACATTCTGTGTGTGCGTGTGATTTTTTATGCTTACAATACTCAAATTCATGTTCGTTGTATAAAAGGTATTACGAAGTTTTTTTTTTTTCCTGAACGGGTGTCAGATAAACCAAAGTGACCTTTGAAATAGGACCCATTACACTGATTGAAAAGTAAATTTTCTTTAGCCTAGATATCATTGATATTTTAACCATCACAAAGTTAATTAATACATAATATTTAATAATTACACGAAAGCTCTCAAATTAACATAGAATATTTGTAAAAATTTGTGTATGTCAGTTTCGAACTCCGTACGTTTAGCTAAATTCATCATTGTAATGGAGAAAAAAACATGATTACAACAATGTAATGCTTTAAATATATTGAAATTGCTTTTGAAAGATTTTCTCACAAGACCATATGAGAAACAACAAGTAATTTTAACAAACAAACCCATTATGTGCTTTTAAATTTATGGATTGTTGGTATATTCCGGTTTCGCACTTTCGTTGCTGCCGATACACAAAAAATTCTCCGTTTCGCTTTTTAGTCATCCCGAGAATCATCACGTGACCGTATGTTTTTATTCAGATTTGCAAACTGAAAGGTGTTTAAAACGCTTTTCCCACAAAATTGGAGAAAATATGTATTTCAAAACGACTTGCCAATCCAAAGAAACACATATCAATGTATCACTGATTCTGTTTGAATGTCCCTAACTCGCAGGTAACAAAAAAATATCGGTTCGTGAAATTTTACTTTTTTTTGTGACATTCGGTCGTACCTCAAACATTCATTGTATTGTTGTTATACCTTTCATAATCTCCGTTGCGCCAATGTTTTATTGCGAAACGGAGATTTTATTTTCAAAACTGTATACTGTTTTTTTTTATGTCTAGGTAGAATACTGAATATATCAGATTCTAAATGGACGGCGAAATGGACATAATTTCGGCGCAACGGAAAATGAAGATTTTCATAACGGGTAGATCTTATGTTTGAACATAACTTAAGAATTTGAGAATAATAAGTAACAGTCTTTTAATAATGATTTCCTTTCCTTTATTTTAGAAAATGTTGAAAATAGGATATTGTAAAAGATATTTAAATTACGGCGAAATGGACTATTTCGGCGCAACGGGGGATATTCATAACAGTTTTATCATATCATATTATTTTATTAATTTATTATCTTTCATTAATCATTGTGTTCTTTTTCAATAATTGTTTGTTGCGTATACATTGTATATTTCACCAAAAGCAATCCAAATATTTCATAATTATGATTTTTACAAAAGGTAATCAATTACGCGAGAATTGTTAGCAATTAGAAACGTATCGTGCGCGTGTATGGCACGGGTGTTTAATAATGTTTTTAACACTTGTAATAGAAAACTTGACCGTCATCAGTGGCGGATTCAGACTCCAAAATGTTTTATTACGTCTCACATTCCATATACACATTTTTTCACATAGTTTGAGTGAAATATTGGCGTAATAAGCTTCAAAAGCAATATTTTCGACAATAACAAGTTATAAAAAAATATTTAATACCTTAAAGTCAATACATGTTCCTCTTACATTATCTAAATGGTGTGAAAACGCGTGTCCAATAAACATCAACCACGTGTCATTGGTAATTTAATTATCGGTACTTAACACCCGTGATAAACATTCTTCAAATCACCAAATTGCTGTTATTTCGCTAAATAAACAGTAGCTGCATTTGATTTTAACGGGGTTTTCTGATTGGTAAGTAACGTTCAATTTAATTATTTTATGTTTTTTCACTGTTTTAAAATGGAAATAGAAAGAACAGCAAATTCTACATGCATGTCGTTTTACTATTTTAATAATTTCATCAAACAATTAATATTTTGTATAGTTAATATTTTAACAAATAAAGTGATTTGCTTATATATTCCCGGCAGCAGAAATAAGAAAATAATTTTTACAGTTAAAAAATTATAGGATCAAATTTAAACGGGTACTATTTTAGTCACAGTAAAAATGATCCACAAAAGTATAATAATATTAAGCAAATACTTACATGTTTGATATTTAAGCACTGTTTAAAATGAACGAACACTCTTTATGAAAAACACCCCTCTTTGAAGCAATTTGGTTGTCTGCAGCTTAAAAATGGTGCTTATTAGCAAATACTTCTGTTAACGGTCAATGTTTGAGATGAAATGTGTTGCGTTTCATGGTAAACGTGTTGTAATTAAGCGCTGTAATACAAATCTTTTGAATAAAGATATGAATTTGTTTTCTTAAGTGTTACATGTCATTGATTAAAGTCATTACAATATTTAACGTAAATATAACGTAATACACGGGAAAAAAGAAACAGATTTAAAGACTCGTGTTAATTAATTTCATATATTAGTACATACGTTGTGCCGATTTTCCAAAATTATCTCCGTTGCGCCATGAAATTTCCATTTCGCCAGGCATATATAATCCTTTAGTGTAAACATATACAATTTATGAAACATTTTAAAAAATACTCACTTAAAAGTGCTAAACAATCATTTTAGATGCTCAAATACAGCATATTGACTTTAAAAAAGGCGTTGTGTCGGTTTTTTCTAAAAAATTATCTCCGTTTCGCCATGAAATTTCCATTTCGCCAGGCATATAACCCTTCAGTGCAATTAAACATATACAATTTATGAAACATTTAAATCATACTTACTTAATAGTGCTAAACAATCATTTTAGATGCTTAAATATAGCATATTGACTTTAAAAAAGGCGTTGTGCCGGTTTTTCTAAAAAAATATCTCCGTTGCGCCCGTTGCGTCCGTTGCGCCAAAAAAAATCTCCGTTGCGTATTTTAGTGGTACCCCCTCAGTGGAGTACCTTTAAATGCTTAGAGTTCGGTTACATGACAAATAATGTCAAAAGTTAAGAATGTCTACAGTACAGATGATTGAAAAGTGGTTGTGATTAAAAACTGGCAGTATGTGGATAGCTTTAAGGAAAACTAAAAATTGCACTATACCTTTAGTGTAGCACAAGACTTAGTTGTTTTGTACCTATCCCATAAAAGTCGTTATCACAATATGTAAAATTCACAAGTGAGATTTTAATGGCGGACATTTGTAAACATTTTTGTTGTCACGGGGTATTTTTCCATCTTTTGCATTGACAGATGAACGATTTGAAAGAAAATCTTTATAATTTCATGGAAAATGAATGTCTAATTTGAGTGGTTCAATTTTGTATGTTTTCGTGACGCTTATTTTGTAAAAACTGCTTGTTTTCTCTTTAATTTCTCTCTCAGGAAACAACATGTTTGATTTGGAGGCGGTGAATTTGAAATGATTTTATTCATTTCGGTCATTATAATGGTGTTTTGAAAAATCTGTGACTCTCTTAATCCGGTATATTTGTCACGTGATTTAAATATTTGATGTGTTTATCTTAATTTTTCAAGAAATATTTTGTTATTCTAAAAAGGAAAACTTGTCAGTCTTAAGGCAAATTATTACAAGTTTTGCATCAAAGCTGAAGCATATATGCCACGGTCTATGTTTTCAAGTGATTTCACATAAATAATAAAAATGGGGTAGGCTACTAACTATAACTGTCACTGAGATTTACATAATGGATAATTCATTTGGATCAAGGCCACCATGGCCAACTCGACCGATGGGCATGCAGGCACAGACATATGGTGGAAACATGCCACCCAATATGAATCAAAACTTCAACGCTCTTCAACCTGGCCAACCACGAGCATCAGTAATGAATGGGTTCAATGGTGTCCCGCAAGCTCTTAATACAATGTCAACACCAAGTTCCATGGGCGGAGGATACCCCATGTGGGATATGGACATACCAAGTCAGATGTTCATGCAGACAATGAATTTTGAGCGGATGATGCAGCAGCAGCAACAACAACAACAACAACAAGGCATGATGGAGCCAGTTGCAAACATGAGTGTACTTTCCAATAGATCAGACGATGCCTCAAATAGAAATGGTGGGTAAATTATTCATTGTACACTACACAATGAAACATAATTATAATGACTATCAACTAAACCATAAACTGAGTGTTTTGATCACTCTCCTGATCTTTGCCACAGATCTTTTGAGTATGATCTGTTTCAATCGTAAATTTATCTTGGAGTGATTCCAGGGTTTTCCTTAGTTGGTGATTGATAAAATTTATGTGATTTCATCATTCATATCCACATTGTTCAAGACTTCAACTTGAGAACATTCTTTGTAGAGAATTTCTTTTTCACAAAAATTAAGGTTAAAGCATGCGTCACAAACAAATTCTTAGTTGCCCATAACTGTAAGATATATGTCAATGTCACATGACATGAATTCCCAATAAGACAATAAGTTTTTACATGTACTGATGTAGGTGTAAAAAATATACATGTGACATAATTATAAGTGAAATCTTCATTATGTAATAGTACAAGTTAGAGAACTATGTATATTTGTTTTGTTTTTTTATTACAGAGTCGGGTCGTGATTTGATTGAACAACAGCAGGCTATGGAGCAGGCTCGTTTATTGCAAAGATTTAAGGAGTTACGTCAGTGGCAGCACCAACAACAGGAAGTTCTGATGACACAACAACAACAACAACTTAGTCTTTTACGGAAAGAACAGGAGAAAATGAAAGGCATGATGTCTAAACAGAGAGAAAACCAGTGGGGAGGTAACATAATCACTCTTTACATTTGTGCACATCTCTTTAAATATAGATGCATACAGAGCTTTTATGATAATATTTTCTAGCTTAAACTAGGTCTCATTGGAGTCATTCTCTTCTGGGCTCTCAACGGCCGAGAGATAAAGGGCGTTTATTAGCCTTATTATTAGGTGATACAAACCACTTGTCATCTACCACTGATAGTTTAAGTCCTGTAAGGGTGGTACATGTAAAGCATAATTATGAAGTTGTGTTTTAATTAAGAAAATGCAATTTTCATTCTTAGTTTTACGAGTATATTGTTATGTTAAGTACAAAGTTCTGTCATATAATATGATCTCTAAAGTTTGTAAATAAATATATTTTTCCTTCAAAAATCTAGGTCCTACCTCTGCCTTTAAAGACTGAAAACATCATTTGCAATTTCTGGTAACTTTTTTAGATTAAAGGCTATCATTACGGAATTTTTCACTGTTATAATGTGACCAAGGAATATTATTTATGTTTATGTGTCAGATGTGTTTTTACTTTTATATACAATGTAACTGAATTGATGTTTGAGTTACTGTAGTTCAGAATATTCTATTTTATTGAGATATAGAATTAGATTGTCTTTAATATACAGGAGGACATTCAAATGTATACGGGAACACAGAGACACCGCCACGTCGTCAGTTACCTCCCGGAACAGATATATCAAAACTAATGCAACCAAATGTGAATCAACCACAAGTCGGTCAGGATTTCAATGTAAGTGTATATCGTCACCTTACAGGCTTACTGCAGAAATGGGTTAACACGCTATATAATTATGCTCCCCGAAAAAAATCAGGGGAGCATATAGTCACCGGGTTGTCCATACGTCCCAAATTCATGTCCGGCCCATAACTTTTGTATTTGAAGTCGGATTTTACAAATATTTCACAGAAATGATCACCATATAGAGGCGACATGTCGCACACAACATTTATTTGGGTTGCTACCTTGAAGGTCAAGGTCACAGCATGACCTTGCAGCAAAATCATGTCTGGCCCATAACTTTGTTATTTGAAGTCGGATTTTACAACTATTTCTTTCATTGAAAAGTACATTTTAATAGTGGCAATATGGTTGAGTGGTTAATACGTTTGACTAGTAATGTAAGGGTTGCTAGCCAACGGGGTATAACACCCACCAGGTGCATTGTTTTGTTTCACGAGAAACTTGACACTCATTGCTCAGTACTGGTTAGTTCCAGAAATGTTTATGAATCTGCGTCTATAAGCTTATACATGTAGCTTTGTACACAATCAAACTAAAATAAATTGAATGACATGTTGCATTACATCCCTTCCTTGTTCATATAGTTTAAAAATAAATTATGTATTTACTCAGAGTAATAACATTACGGTGTGTTCTCTCAAGTTACCTACCTTTCAGTCTTCATTTGTATAGCCAGTATGCCTGAAAATTGTTAAGCAATTAATTCAGACAAGTATTTGAAGGCTTAGTAGGTTACATGTACATGTCACATGTCTTGTTTGTGTGCTTGCCAAACTGTCTTACCAGCTTGGAATTCTTCATTAAATAATGTACATGTATGTCAATATTTAATCAGGGTCAGCATATGTTACCTAGACCAGTGATGTACGTACAGCCAAAAGAAGACGATGATGAAATCAAGACTAACCCGGATTTATTCAGTGACACAAACTCGAACCGAGGCAGTCAGGCTGGTATGGATGATGGCATGTTTCCGATACCAGACTCGGCCTCAGAGGCTAGCGTTGAAGTGGGACTTCATCACCTGAGGCAGGGACAAATAAAGCAGCCATCTCAGTGTAGGCAAAGATTTAATCCTCATGAACTAGATGTAAGTTTTTTCCCTTTAAGATTGATTAATTGTTTCCTTTATCAAAATTTCTTGTTGTTAGATAATGAAAGACTTGAGTGCCAGCCAGTTAGTTATGTCCTATAAGTAAGAAAATCACCTGAAAATTTCCAGAATTTGCTTATTACCTAATATTAGATATACAAAAATGTTAACATAGATGAAAGTGTGTATCAAATACATTTAATAACATTTAATAAAAGAAAAGATAAAAGAATAATTAAAACATAATGAACATCATCTTATTATCATGGTTATTTATTATTTTAGGCTCCCAAAAAGCTCCATAGATCTTTCGCTGAACTGGAACATGACCCAGAATTCTTAAATTTGTCATCCCAGTCACCAACCATGTTGGAGATGCAACACGGATCAAAACAAGATGCAAGGTAAATTTATAAGCCTATTTCTAACATAGTTGCTTGAAACAAGTAATTGCAGAAAAATGATTTCATTCCTGGGATGAAGCTAATTGTTTTGTGTTTGTCTGTCCTTATTCAAAACATTTTATTAACTAGTTGAAAATAAGTGATAAGTTCTTGACTTTGACATACTGCCTTGTCCTTGAAGTGAATGTAGGGTATATGTCTTGCTCAGTGAAATAAGTCTCCCTAATAGGACTCAGATTTTAATCCGAGACCACTCAGTCCTAAATCAATCATTCATGTACTAAAACTGGACCATAGCTTCCCCCCAAAAATAGTGTAAATTTAAGTGTTATATTTACTCAGGACCCACTCAGATATTGAATGTGAGAAAACTATGCAGCAGGAAATGGTCGTAAACCATCAGTTACAGAATTCCTACCATTCTGTTACTATACCTACATGTATTTAGCAGCTCTCTACCACTGTAGCTTCTTAAACTTTTGTAGGGATACAAGAAGGTTTTGAAAAATGTAAAACAAGATATTGTGTCAGTAGTTGAAGTAAATTTCTCTTAAGAATATTGTAACATAAGTTTACATATTGGATATTATGCCTTTCTCAGATTGTAATGTAAGTTAATTTATTGGATATTATGACTTTCTCAGATTGTAACATTAGTTTATATATTGGATATTATGACTTTCTCAGATTGTAACATAAGTTTATATATTGGATATTATGACTTTCTCAGATTGTAACATAAGTTTATATATTGGATATTATGACTTTCTCAGATTGTAACATAAGTTTATATATTGGATATTATGACTTTCTCAGATTGTAACATAAGTCTACGTACATGATATTATGACTTTCTCAGATTTTAACATCTGTTTTTTATTGAATATTCTGACTTTCTTTGATTGAATTATAGAAATGAAAGAATTGAGGAGGAGGATGAAAACAATTCTGATGATGAAAGTGAAGATGATGATGATGATGACAATGATGATGATAGCAGTGATAAAAGTGATGATAGTGATGATGAAGATCAAGAAGATACTCAAATAGAGGTATTGTACTAATAACAAGTCGGCACTGGTTTCTTGGAATATGAATAACTATATCATTGAAACACACACCGATTTTCAACACTTTTGTATGGATTTTTTTTTATCTCAAACAGACAATTACATGTACTGTTATTGGAGATTTTCAAGCTTTACTTACTGGTGTAAACATGTGGTAAAATCTTCAGGTTTGGTTTTAGTGATTTTATAGCTGAAACTGTATGATGTTCTAAAATGAATTTTTTTTATATATATATTTTTTTGTTGTTGTGTGGAGGATGGGGGGAGGGGAAAAAAGGTAAATTCTTGTTCAATTATTATAATAGTTGTTGCAAAGAAGGTTGTAATTGCAAACTATGTTTAAAGTTTCTTCTACAGACATGGAAAAAAAACTAATCTAGATCATACGTGTGAACTTTTTTTGATGATCAAGTGGGAGGTTTTCCTGCTAAAGAGGGAGATTTTAGCATTTACAATAAACAAAGAAGGAAGTTCTGACATAAACAATAGGGAGATTTCTTTAATTTGTGGACAAAAAACTAATTTTCAGACAAATCTTAGAAAATATGGCTACCAAAAGTGGGAGTCTCCAGCTTAAAGTGGGAGAGTTCACATGTATAATCTAGATGACTGCCCCAAATGAAATTTCTAAACATGAGCACAATACAGTTCAAGTTCCCAATACAAAATATATTAAACATGTTCTAATACAATGTCAAATTAACCTAGAGATTCTGATTAAAATTCTAGACTATTGCAAGTAATATGTTAACTATTGGAAGTTATTTGACTTAAGGTTTAGAATCATACTTTATACTTCACATGAAAGACATCTTTACAACTGCAGGTGAAGGCAGGAGGTGGTATAGATGATATACCTATCAAGCCAGGTTTAGAAGCTGGAAAAACATTTGAAGAACTTTTAGAAGAACAGTTAAAGGCTGAGGAAGAGAGGGTAAAGTTCATATTTTTATTTTCCCATAATGTTACTTTAATTTCCAACCGATTATTTATGTCCAAGTTAACATATTTGTTAAAGCATGAGTGTGAGATGAGTTCTTGAAATTTGTATTAACCATTCATGTTTTAATTTGAAACTAACTAATATGGTAGTGATGTCATCTTATGAAACACAGCTGTGATCAGAGCAGGGTGTTAAACCTGTGATTCCTGTGTTATTGTAATACCTTACCACAAGCCACTAGTACTGGTTGCTTGAGTTATAATTTGGTATCACCAAGGATTCAGCTTAATTCAGTGAAAGCGTTTTAGAGGAGATACTTTTGAAGCTGTATAATAAAGTCTTTCCCCTTTGAATGGTGGACCTTTCCAGAGTTTAGCAGTGAAAAATTTAAACCCACATTTTCTATTCATTGCTTGGTCAATTGCTCACAAACAGTATCACAAAACCATAGTTTTCTTTTCCGTAAACCAGATCAACCAGTGAACATCTTTTATTCAAGTTGGATAACCAGTCAACCTATTTGCATAAAACTGTTAACACAGAACAGGTCTATTGTGGCTTGCTTGTACAACTTCTCAGAATGGAAGATACTGATTATTCAGTTTGAATATGTTGCATTACATTTTTAGAGGAATACAGTTGTACATTTAACATTCATGTGTAGTTATAAAAAGAACATATCTCTAGTTAGAAAAGTTAAAAAAAAAATTTTTTATATTAATGTTCTGCACAGTTCCTTTAAAATCTCGAACATTGAGTCAAATGGTCATTTGTCTCTTACTGCTAATTCAGAAATCATGTGGGATTAGTAGTTAATTATCATGCAAAGCCAATAAGATGAATTGCCGACAAAGATATGACAAAAATTTGTGTAAAAATTAGAATAACAACCATATTTGAAATTATTTTATTTGGCAAAGCTATCACACTAGCTATAACAAGATGTTCACACATACACAATGCATATTTATACACTTGTTACTATATATAGAAACAAAATTTCAACTGAGTGTCACGTAAACGATTATCAGTTTGTGGTCCGGGGCCGATTATCACCTTCAGGCCTTACTCTGCTGTGTATTAATCTCTTTTTCTAAAGAAATATTGTGTGGTATTCTTAAAACAAACTGTTGTGTAATAATGTAATTTATTTCTGCAATCTTACAGTTAAGAGCAGCAAATGCCAATGTGGATTCACCTAGTCAACCAAAAAGAAGCTTCCTCAAAAAAGGTGAAGGGATTGCAAGGTTTGAATCCAAACCTGGTCAGCGACCTTCTAAAGTGAAAAAGAAAACCACAGTACCGGGTGTTGTTAGTAAGACATCAAGTAAACAGGCCTCACAGAAACCTGAGACTACTAGTGCACAAACAAAATCTGGTAAGTCTGAGAATAACAGCCTCTATGGCAGAATGGTTAGTGTCCAGTGACTTCAAGTTTTACATCGCACCAACACAGTGAAGAACATGTGGCGACTTTTCAGCTTTACTGGTGGAGGAAGACCTCCGGTGCCCTTCAGTGCATTATTTCAGGCACAACAGGGCACATGAGTAGAACCACAAATGTTCCATAAGCTAGCTGGATTGCTTCCTCACATGAAACAATCCAAAGTCCATGTCAGGATACGAACCCACAGCAATGAAGGGCAGTGTAGGTAAGTAATTTTGTATTAATAATAATGATAATCCAGATTTCACTGTAGTTTAAGCTTTTTCATGCCTCTATGTAGATAGGGTTCTAAAAACCATTGACTTATGAAAGTACAAGATAAGATGATTTATATTACAGGCAGCAACAAGGCCGCTGGAAAACCACCAACTAGCAATAAAAACCAACCTGGTAAGAAGGTCACAGGTCAAGGGTCAAAGCAACACAAGACTGATGATAAGGTTAATATATATTATTTCTTTATTTTCAACATTTATTATAGAATAAAGTTTGAATATATGCAGACGTTTTATTCAAGGTAAAATAAGTAAATTGTCACTTTTAAGTGGTTTAGTGCTAAGATATTGAATGAACTTTGTGTCATTTTGTCTTCCATTTACTTTCAAAATTTAAGTATTTTTGTGATACATTTATAGGACTAGGTGTACTGGGCTTTGATGGTCCATCTACTGTACAATAATCAAATGTTGTAGCTATAAACAAAACAGTTTAAAACATAAAAACTTTCATAGGATGAAATTCAGTACACTGTCCTTATTTGCTACTCTTTTCTTTAAAAAGTTCAACTGCTTTGGGATAATCTTCACCTTCATTATTGAATTTTTATGGGAATTTTATAATATGTAAAGATTATTTAATGTTTTTCTATAAATACAGGATTTATTTTCATTGAGTGATACGAAAATAAATATTTCATGAAATATGATAATTTTTTTACCTCATGATGAAATAAATCCTGTATTTATAGTAAAAAACTTGAAGCTTCTGTTATTATATACTTTTTTTTCTCTTTTTTGACATTACATTTTGAAAGACTTCTTAAAATGTGTGTATTGGCTGAATTTAGAAGAATGTTGTCAGGCTAGACACCAATAAAAATTCAGAAAATGTGTATCACTGCAGTAAAAAAAAAATTCTACAGTGAAAATACAGAAAATGAAAATACACATTTTATTTCTTTAATATTTCTCAATAATTCATAATAAGTATATAATGAATGTCTATTTTTGGCCTAATTTTATTGTTAAAGTTAAACTTACTTTTACCATAAATGTATGGCAAAGGGCAATGACTTGAGAAGCTATTATTAGCTTTTTACGTTCTGCTCATTATGTAGTTTGTTCCTAAGTACTTAAAAAGTCAAATTAATGAAAACATGTATTACATATAAAACACCTTATTATATGTAGTTTTTGACCTCATGCTTAATTTATTGAAGAAGAAGAAGTTGTCTAAAAAGTCTCCAGGTAATGATGCAGAAAAACAGGCGAAGGTGAAGGACGTGTCAGGAAACGAGGACAAGCAATTGAAAGGGAAATTGAAGCGCGCAGACTCTTTTCCAGATGACGCTTCATTTGTAGCTAATTTAAAAGAGAGGCAGAAAGAATCTGAGGTAAAGAAATCGAAACATTTAAATTCTTAGACTGCGTGTATGTTTTCTTTTTTCTTTCTATAAACATTTTTTGGGGTTAGGTTGTAAGTCACACAGACTTTGTTAAGTTCTTATTAAGATTTTTAGCTTTACTGGTGGAAGAAAACTACAGATGGCACTTTGCAAATTATTTCAGTCAGTAACACAAATTAAAAAGATAGCCTTTCTTTTGTAAGCAAGAATTGAATGATAGAAATTAAATGTTAATGGCTTAAAGCCACTTTATTAAAACCTATATGGTGAGGGAAAAAGGCTGGTACCCAAATACCTGAGACATTTGGATAAAAATGTCACACTAAATATTTTCTAAAACTTTTCCAGCCTCTAGAAAAACTACATGTTCCACATAATTGAGCCACCTTGCTATGCCTAGCACTATTAATAATGTATGTCAAGTGTTTGCTCTTCATTTATTTAGTTATAGAATTATATAATATCTAAATCTCTTTGTTTCCAGGGAAATGGTTGTATAATAATAGAGTATTTGTATAGGATATTTCTAAGAAATCATAATTGTGCTACAGAAGATGGATGTTTTCATTATATATATAAAGATATACTATGCTCAAATTTGATATTAGAAAATATTGATAATTTACTACACAGTCTCTTTTTAGATATAATATAAACATGTTTTGACTTCACACAAAGTAGCTATGTTATGTATGAAATTGTACACACTATAGGTGGTCACAATATGAATATATAGTTTTAACACCAACTTTACTTGACCTGTAATGGGGAAACAACTTCCCATTTCTATTATTCAAGTTAGATGTATTCAGTAAGAATTTCATAGATTTCAATAATTTTCTGTGATAACAATATTTTACTCAAGGATGAACATAGTAATTAGTATATCTTTAAGATATAACTAAGATGGCAAACATTTTCTTTGTTTCACTTTATAATTGTTTATATTTTACATTGATAGCGAGATATGGAGGAACTGGATGAGTTTGAGATTCTTGAACACTTCGCTGACAACATGTCATTTTGTAGTAACTCCTCAATAGTAACCAAAGGTCTACATGGCTTACAGAATGATAGAATCCTGCCCGGTGTTAAACCCAAAGTAAGTGAAATAAATGGTTTTTGTGGTGTTTTTTTGGTGTTTTTTTTTTCAATTAAATTAATTTTCTTGATGAATTATTCATTTACCTTTCAAATAATTTTTGAGTCCATCAAATTAGGTGGAAGATGTAGTACTAAAATTAATCAATTATTTGTTAAAGAGCTAACTGATATGGTATATTAGTTCACAAATAAAACATAAACTAGTAGCTGGTCTGTCTATGCTTCCTGTCGTCACACATGCATTAACATTTATCATATAGCTCTATTATATGACCAATATCTTGTTTGGGTGAATGGAAGATCCATGGACCTAAAACTTTTGGTAGGCTTTCAGTTGGGGGTGATGAGTTGTGGGCCAGGTCAATATGGTTGAAAATTTATTTTGGTACTTTTCTTCATGGTTTTAGCTTTCATCACAAAGCAGTTTTACAGTCTGCCCAGTATTGATGATGTTGGTTTAAATTTTACATTTTTATAATGAAAACCCTTAATGTAAAAATTGGTGGTTTCAAATTTAAAAAACAGAAAAATAGTCCATGAGGACTAGTATAAGTAACATTGTAAGGGTCTAGGGGTTTGGTCAGACTTTGCACATTTGAAAATATGATAACTTATTCTCATCTGAAGGTTTCATTGATTTCTTTTGTGATTACAGAGTCAAGAAATAGGAAGGTCAAATAGTCCAAGGGCAACTTTGATAAAGAAATTGGAGGAAGAGAAAAAGGCCAAGCATAAAAAACAGTTGGAAGAACAGTCTAACATGAAGCATGGAGGTTTACGGTCAAACTCAGATAGTAAAAGAAATACTGGTGTTAGAACTTTGGAAAACATGCTAAAAAAAGAAGACTGGCAGAAAAAAGAACCGGTGAAAGTAGATGCTGCTAAGACTGCAATAGATGATGATAACAGTGATGAATATGAATCAGTGAGTGATAGTAGTGATGATTCAAGTGATGAATCCAGTACTGATGATGATGATAATAATGATGATCATAAAAATGATCAAAATGATATGTATGGTGTTCTTAAACAATTCGGTATTAAGGATGGCCGTGTTCAAAATTTGCTAAGTGAAAAGACTAATAGTAAAGGGAAGAATGATTCAGTGTGTTCAACTGATAAAAAGCTGGAGAGAGTGTTAAGTTACACAGGGTTTACTGAGTCAAGTAGTGTTTCACAGACATCGGAATCGGAACAGGAAGTCGATTTAGACGATGATGATTTTGACTTCTCCGATAAAGGAGAAGTAGAAACTAAGGAACCACCGAAGTCGTTGACTCGGAAAGTGGCCGGGAGAGACGATAAAAATAAGTTTCCGTTTCAGAATCTGCCGTCAGATAAAGACATGTTACAGGTTAATGTTATCGGAAGTGCCTTTATGCCGAAAGCAAAATCTCCGGGTGTTATCTCAAAAGAAAAGGTTTCAAAACCGGAAACTTTCACACATATACAACACGATATTCTAAAGGAAGAGACTAAATTTTCGTATCACTCAGATTCCGACTCTGTAGGCAACAAACATAACGGGAGTTTGAGTGACGAAGACGATGATAAATCCAATGACGGAGATAAAAATTCTCGGAAGTCTTTTGGCGAGAAGAAAACATTGCAATTTGATGACGATGATGAATGGGGAGAGCTTACACCGAAAATTTTAAAATTGAGAAAACGGAAAGATTCAGAAAATGAAAATGATAAGACACTTGTAGAAGATACAGATGTGGATAAAGAAGATACTAGTAGGTTATGTTATGCTCTCTAAGGTTTAATGTTTAAAAATTACTAAATATTGAACATAAGTTTTGTTTTCAAAATGGGTCAGAAATATGATAGTGGTTCGAAATTTTAACTGGATTTTTGAAATTTTGCCAAAAGCAAATTTTCTATAGTTACTATAAGAAAACTTGAATAAGAAAAAAGGTGATACTCAATTTTTTTGATATAATATCAAATTGATATTAGTGTAACTCAAAGTTATACATGTGTAATGTTATATTTTGGGGCTTAGAGTTAATGCAAATTACAAGAAGTACACAATGTATTATTAAGCCATGAAATAAAAAGAACCTGATGTTTGTTGTCAGTTCATATAAAATTTGTATAGAAAATGTCATCTAGCAAACTTTTGTAACATTTTCCTGAATTTATTTCAAACGAAATACCATACCTTCTAAGTCAAGTTTTATATAAATTGTGATTAATTCTAAACCAAAAATGATTAGCCTTTGCCACCAGTAAAATCCCATAAACATTGAATGGACTGTTTCAAATTCATTTCATTACACAAATTCAGTTTGTTAAAGATTAAGTAAAAGAATTGCACATGAATTGATTTTCAGGACAGGGCAAGTCTAAGAGCGAAGAGAAAAGTGGCGAGGATACCCCACCCACATCAAAACTAGTATCCAAACTTTTCCCCAGTCTAAAACCAGTGCAGAAAAAACAAGAGGAACAGGTAGATGTACAAGTATTGCTCTAGAATAATACTGTGTATTTGTAACATAGATTTTATTCTGCAATCTTAGAAATTATTTTATCTAGATGGCTGCAACAAAGTTATAAATTTTTACAATTTTATTCAAAGAAAAGTGAGCGGGCAATATTGTGTATTTGTTAGTAAAACTTTTGACAGGTTACTTGGTCATATGCACACATTAATTGGTAATATAATGTTTCTCTAGTGGTTTAGATTAAGAATAGCTTAAAAGAGTCATATGGCCATAGGACCTGTATAACTAATAAATATTGTAGTTTCATAAGTATACATATAGAGGTTTTAAAATTACAAGACTGTTTTCATTATATACTGAACATCCCTCATATATCACTTGTTAAAATGTGTTTCACTTAAGATTAGGGTATCTATAGTAGAGTGTTGGACCCCAGTGGTCACACTCACAGACTTCAAAACACTTGCATTCTTTAGTGTTATAAAAACTATTCATCCAGCTTAAGGTTGGTGGTTCTACCCATGAAAGAAATATTGCTTAGGGAAAGATATCAAAGACTTTTTTTCTGCACTAGTTACGACAGAGGCCCTAAGTGACTTTCAAGGTGTTGGTTTGACTTTGAACTGAAAAGGAAATGATATATGTGTTTGATTATTTATGTTAATATGAGAGTAAAATTCTTTACTATATTAATCAAGCAAGGTATATTTTGTGCTTTTGAAAACAAATGTAATTTTTTGATTAGGCTAAAGATATTAAAATTAAAGTGCATAGTCATATAATGTATAACAGTTTTAGTTTCGATGCAGAGTCATTAAATCATTGCTTTATTGTATGGCTCAAGTGATTAATTACAAAATGTCTGAACTAGCAGTTATTAGATACAGTGTGTGTTATAAATATTGTACTTTATGTTGTTTCAGAATTTAGAGAAGATACAGTCTGTATCGCAGGCTGGTTCAGGAGATGGCGTCCAGTCTAAAATTCTGCGAGATAAATTGATAGAGCTTGAGAGAGAGATTGAGAAATTTAGGAACGAGAATAAACATCTCGCCACACTACGCAACGAGAGAGAACAGGTATTCTGTCAAATCGGTTTATTTATGACTTTCTTCCGAGGATAGAACGTATCTTATTATAATATGGCTGTTACTTAAAGCAGCAGGCCTCCAGATTTATGCTTATTTCCATAAAAATTGTAAAACTGTATTGAAAAGTAAAATATTGTGGAGTGAACAAAGAAAGTAATTTACACATTTCAAACGGCACTTACAATCCACCTAAATTACCAAAAAAGGTCCAAATAAGTAAAAATAGTTTGTTTGTGTAAGAAGCTGTTAGCTTAAAAATACACTCTTGAATCTGTTTCTAGAACCAACCAGTACTAAACAATTAGTGTAAAGCTTCTTGCTTAAGAAAATAACAGATTGCCAATCATTAAATTACTTGTCCCTCACATTAACCGCTTGGGCATGTCGCCTTCCATTTGAAATTATGTTTCTTATTTGTGTATACTTATGTTTACTTAATATCAGTCAAATTGTCCAAACGCTATTGGTCAATTTTATATGTGTGTTTATAATCAGCCAAAGAGGAGCTAAAGTATAAACCTAATTTTATATGCACGTAATTATTTCATTCCTCACTCCAGTGCATTCAAGTTTCAAAAGGAGACTATAATTCTCTCATGTTAGGGCATCCAGCTTGTATTAGGTTGGTAGTTCTACTTGAATGCCAGGTTGCTGACATGGGGCACCTGGGGTTTTCTACCACCAGCAAAGTTTGATGTTGTCCTTAACAGTTTTAGTGTGTGACTTAATTAGATATGCACATACATATATATCTATATCTCTTGTTATTCTTCTAGATCTGTTTGAAATTTTCACCAAAAAAAAAAATTGTAGAATCTATTTTCTTTACTTTTTCATGAAGAATCATCATGATCAGTATTATGTATGATTGGATTTTGTAATTTGTTTCAGGGCTTGCATGTTCTGAAGAAAGAAATAATGGACTTTGAAAAAGAGAAGGCATTGGAGCTAAGACGCATTGAAGAATTTAGAAACGAGGAAATGAAAAAACTGAAGTATGTTTTTTATATGTTTGTTTGGTATAACAACACGGTTTAATCAGTACTTTACGTATTTATTGGCAAGTGTTTAGGGCTGTAAAGTTTGCTTGGACATTTGGAATATTCGCAGTTCAGACCTTGACAATACAGATAAAGATATTTGTAAGTCCTAAGATCTTTGGATCGCGTTTAGCAGTTATATTAACATTGTTTAACTTTATCTTGTTTACATTTTACATGCATAACCATGATCTCAGTGGATCTTCCTAAATTTGAAACATGTCTGAAATGCCAACAATTTTGTGGTTTTATAAAATTTTCCTTATGAATAATGGTAAATTCTTACTGGGGATATTTTTATAAAATGTTAAGTCATTTACTGGGCAGTTTGTATTCGGAACTATTCCATTGTTGTGGTTACTGGTATTTATCCGAATCTTACTTAATCGGGACCCACAAATTTTTTCAAATATCCTAACAGGGATCAGTACTACATCAGTATTGTGTTATTTCTTCTCCGTTATTTCTATGACAATTTTATGAAGATTTATAGCTTTAGAGGGTTTTTGACCTTTTTTTATTGCTAGTTTGCATTACTTCTTATGAAAAGACTATTCTTGCATTGTGGAATATTTGATTAATTCTTGAAAATACGAAACAATTTTACAGGCATGAGAAGAAGATGTTTGACAAGTATCAGAAAGCTGCTAGAGCAGGTCCAGACAAGAAAGAAAGGGAAGAAATAGAAAACCTTAAGGCACAGGTGTGTTATTTATTTGTTTTGCTTAACTTTAGCCCTGTTCAAAATACAGAAAACTGCGAAAAATACCTAGGAATAGCTTGATTTTGGAATTTTCAAAGGAAAACAGTTTTTACATGTAAAAGCTTGGTAACAGTAAATGTCTAAGGGTGGCTAGGCGTAAAATAACAATTATCCTGTGTCCAACTTAAAGGATTTCAATCAAACTTTCACAGAATAATTTTCAACAAGTGTCCAGGCTTAAATTGCCATGATAGGTGGAATTGATCATTTTTGACTGAACAACGGCACTTTGCATATGTTATACTCTCTGAAAACCTTGTATTATGACAATTTCCTTTTAATTTGTTCCAGATTTATACAGGTTGCTTCTGGTGAAAAGTAAAAAAATTGTGTTAAACAACTAGTGATGTAATTCATATCATAACTGATAACTAACTAATATAGTAAATATAAATTTACAAATGTAATTAAAAATATAATTAACTGATATTTTACCAGGTATGTGAACTACAAGAGGAGATGAAGCGTAAAGAGGGCCGCTGGACGGCCAACAACGCTCGCCTACGTGACAAGATAGATCATTTAGAGCAAGAAAATGAGGAATTAAAAGAGGAGATTAAACTTCTCGAGAAGAAACGTCTTGAATGGATGCAGAAAGATCAAAAGGTATTAGACATATTTAGCTTATATGATCAATGGCATTGATAAGTAGGGGATATTTTATTGTTTCAGTTCATGATTATTTTTTTAGCTCAACTGAATGAGCTGTTGTGTTAAATTTAATTTAAATTGTCCTTAAAATTGTGTAAAATTTTCAAAATTTCGTATAAGTTTCACTATAACAACATATTCTTCAACAGGTTTGGGACAGGAGAATTCATGTTTACAAAGTGTCTTGTTTATCAAATGATAAATTTTCTCAAATTTATTTTTTTTCAGAACAAGGCACGGCCAGGTGGACAGAATGTGTTACGCAGCAGTACACCAACAGAGGAGCTTGAACAGCTTACAAATGGTTTTGTTGAACATGGTTACAATGGTATATACATGTTGTTTGTCAAATTTGTTTTAGATTTGTCTTGGGTTTCTTATTGTTATAAGCAATTTAGATAAAGTTGATTGTATTGCATTCACACTGAGTTAAACTATTTGAAATTCTTCTCACCAGTGCTTCAGTATCAGCATAACACTTCCCTAAAGTTTTGGGTGTAAATTTATCTTATTAACCACTTAAGTTATTCATTTGAAACTTTATACATGTCTTTTGGATCATAATTGTTGGTGACATTCAAAGACCAAAGACTCATAAGCATGTATTTTGACTGAATGATATCCCTTTGTGAACTTTTTTTATCCAGGATTCTATTTTAGTTCCTCTAACTTCATTTAAGTTTGATTGTGTTGGAAGCTATAAGCTCATTGAAACACTTTTTAATCCACTCCTGGAACCAACTAGTACTGAGCAATGAATGTAAAGTTTCTTGCTAAAGGAAACAACACATGACTAGGTTTGAACCCACAAGGCCAGTAATTCTTAAATTACTAGTCTGACATGTTAACCACTCGGCCACACCGCCACAAGCAAGGCTTCTATTTTCTATCAAAAAATGAAAAAGACAACTGTACATTGTGACTGCCACCTATAGTATAATTATTTTTGAAATGTTATATGAAAGGTTTATGTATTGTTTAAAATGTTTGTTTTTATTATTTTGACATAATTTTATAAACAAGGTACTTTTTAGCTCGACTATTGGATAAGAATAAGTAGAGCTATTGTAGTCACCCGAGCGTCGGCGTCAGCGTAACCACTTATGTTAAAGTTTTTGTAATAGTTCAAATATTTTCAAAGTCCATTGACATATGGCTTTGAAACTTTGCACACTTGTTCACCATCATGACCCCAACCTGTAGACAGGAGGAGGTAACTCTATCAAGCATTTTGACAGAATTATGCCCCTTTTTCAACTTAGAATTTATGTTAAAGTTTTTGTAATACCTCAAATATTTTCAAAGTCCATTGACATATGGCTTTGAAACTTTGCACACTTGTTCACCATCATGACCCCAACCTATAGACAGGAGGAGGTAACTGTATCAAGCATTTTGACAGAATTATGCCCCTTTTTCGACTTAGAATTTACGTTAAAGTTTTTGTAATAGTTCAAATATTTTCAAAGTCCATTGACATATGGCTTTGAAACTTTGCACACTTGTTCACCATCATGACACCAACCTGTAGACAGGAGGAGGTAACTCTATCAAGCATTTTAACAGAATTATGCCCCTTTTTCGACTTAGAATTTACGTTAAAGTTTTTGTAATAGTTTAAATATTTTCAAAGTCCATTGACATATGGCTTTGAAACTTTGCACACTTGTTCACCATCATGACCGCGACCTGTAGACAGGAGTAGGTAACTGTATCAAGCATTATTTTTTACTATCAAGCACTAGAATAGTCGAGCGTTGCTGTCCTACCGACAGCTCTTGTTAATGTATATTAATGATGAATTATTATTCTAAGTATATGTTTTGGCCTATATTTTAAGCAGAATTGTTTGATGATATAGCCTTCTGTAAAAAATATGCAGACGATTGTAGTACCATCAGTGGCATTATTATGAGAACTACAATCTTTGTACATCATGTATTGTCTCCCTTTACAGATCTGTCTGCATCCACCACCATGCGCTCAAATTCTAGTCACAAAGCTGCCCAGCAGCAGCCGCAGCAGCAGCAGCAGCAGCAGCAGACGAAAGTAAACATTCGCTCAACTTTTCAACCACCAGCTAAACAATCAGGTCATAATCAGGCACAGTCTACACATAATAAACATTTGAATGTTAACCAGTCTGCAAAAACAACTGTGAACCATACTAATTCAAAAGTGAACCAGTCTAAGAAACTTAATACCCATAGTGCAAAGCCAGGTCATCAAGTGCATGGTCAAGGTCACAAACCAGGTCATAAGGTTACAGGTAGAGGTAACAATAGTGGGACTTCTGGGAAAAGCTCAAATTCTGGTGACAGTAAAAATGTGCTACGCAATTCTTTAGCCGAGGATCTCCCAAGGCGGGAACTTGGGACAATGGCAGAACCACAGGAGTAAGTAAACTGTTTAGATAGTTGATAATTCAACTCTGTATAACATCAATTTTTCAATCACCTTAGGATGCTTCAGCAATTGTTTTGCTCTCCCCCAAGAATGGTATGGAAGTTCTGTATACAATTACCTGTGATCTCTTCAGTAATGTTTTCTTAATGGCTCAAAGTTGCCACAAGATCGCTCAAAATTGAACTGTTCTCTTGTGCTATGGACCGGCTCAAAAAAAAGTTACAAAACATCTTAGATGGAAATATGCTTTGGCTACCATGTGGACCCAGTCCTTTCAATGTTTTTCACTTTCACTGCGAATTGTGTGAATAAATCACCATGCTGTTATGCTTGTTTATCCTTTAATACAATTTTGATGTCTATTGTTCAAAGTTTCATACTACATAATAAATTATGTTTCTAGTCATTTTGCATTTATATGGGCTTCTACTGCTGTATTAGTGTAATTAATAATTAATTAATAAAATGAAATTTATGCAAGTAATGGATAAGTAATTGATTATGTATGGTGTATTATTTTATCACCATCCCAGATACATTTTAGAATAAAACAGAACTAGAAAAATTATTGTGTTTGATATGTTTGCATTGCTTTTTGGTATACTGATGTTTGATTTTTGTTTGGTAGTTTGAGTATATATTCCGAGACTGACGGAGACATTGTATCTGCCCCTTCCAATATGCCCCGGAAATTGGCGGGAAGACCAGGGGTAGATAAATCTGTGATAGATAAGGGAGATAATGATGAGTATGACGAGATTCAGCACAGTGACGGAAAGGTATGATCATAATAAAAGTCTGGCAGGTGACCACTATAACCTAAGTGTTTGTTATACATGTATATAGGAAGTTTCTTTGCATTGACATTTCATAAGGTCTCATATTAAATGACACTAGGCTTACTTCAACCAGATTAATTATAAGTTTTAGACATATGTTGGAATGACCTTGATATTTAGATAGTTTGCTGTCAATTGCCAGAGGCTATGGCCATCATTGGCTGAAGGTCCAACATATGCTGATAGGCCAACATTTGCAGATAAGGCCAAAATTTGGCAACATTTTTGTACATAGCCAACAAATGCAAATATGGTAAACATTTGCCAATATGGCCAACATTTGCAGATATAACCTACATTTGCTGATGTGGCCAAATTTAATCAATATGGCCAACATTGCCTGTGATGAAGAATTAAATTGACATCTCTTTATGTCTTTAGGTAGAGAGAACGTACAGAAATGGAGCAAGGGAAATTTTGTTTTCAAATGGTACGAGGAAAGAAATCTCAGCAGATGGAAAATCAATTATTGTGTCTTTCTTCAATGGGGACATGAAGCAGATTATGCCTGATCAAAGAGTGGTAATTTAGTTATGATAATCTGTACTGTTAATATAAGTTTTTTTGTCTGCCTTATGAGGCACCTTTCTAGCTTGCATACAGGTGATTGGTTTTACTCAGTGGCTGACAAAAGAGTGAATTAAAGCATAGAATGGGACCGGAGTTCTCTGGAAAGCAGGAAAATAGCTGATGTGACTTAAAACCCAATTAAAAAATGATTTTTATGACTTTAAAGAATTGTTCTATTGTTTTTGTTTTATTCATTCTTTACTTAATTTGATTGTTTGAAACCATTTTGTATTCCTTTTCTATGATAATGTTTGAAGTTTAAAGAAAAATAGATTTCTCAATGGATAAAGATTCACATGATATTTAAGTGGCATCATGTTATACTTTGACACCATTTAAGTTATTTCTCTCCATTAAATTAATCCCAAAGTATCACATTTTTCTAATACAAAATACATAACATGTAAACTGTTTTCCTTTGTAGTTTTGCCACATGAAATTTCATGGCTTCCTTGATGAAATAAAAAAGGAGTCATACTCTGAATAGACTTGATACAATTGCTACTATATCTCAGTGCATCTTAAATTTGAAGAAATATTCTAATAATGGAAGAGAGTTTCTAGTTTTTATGGATTTATTTTTCACTCTTGTAGATATATTACTACTCTGAGAACCAAACCACTCACACTAACTATCCTGATGGCCTTGAAATAATACAGTTTCCAAAGTAAGTATTATTAAGCAAAACGTGCCTTTGTACTATGTACACTTTTTTGGAATTATTCTGAAATTTTGAATAGTAATATTCTGTAAATTGGAAAAGAATGAGATTATGTTATTGACACTATTTTGGAAATGTGGAAATCTCTAGCAATTTGACAAAGATCTGTTTATCAAACCTGTTTGAAAATGGAGAAAAAGAAAAAAGAACTTATTACATTAGATTCCTGACTTTATTCGTTCTTTGAGATTTTGCAAGAAAAATGAAGAAATGAAGCTGATGGGGAATTGCATTATGGGAAGACATAGGGAGATAGGTCAGAATAATATTACCTCCCTTGAACATTTGATTCATGACAGTACAGGCTACTTCCCTTAAACTTTGATATGTATCAATATAATTGAATTAACAGAAATAAACAGCAAATATGTTTGGATTTGATTTATTTATGATTTTTAGCTCGACTATTCGCAAAATAATCGAGCTAATGCAGTCACCCATTTGTCGGCGTTGGCATCCCTGTGGTTAAGTTTTTGCATGTAAGCTGGTATCTCCATTACTACTTAAGGGAATGGATTGAAACTTCACACACTTGTTCTCTGTGATTATCTAAGATGATTGGCAAAAGTCCCATAACTCTGATTTGCTTTTTTGCATAATTATGCTCCTTTTTCGACTTAGAAATTTTAGGTAAATTATTGCTTGTAAGCTGGCATCTCCATAACTACTGAAGGGTTTGTACCTTTTCGGATAATTTTATGTATTCATATAGGTAAGCATTATTATACTCAATGAAACACCCTTGTGACAACTTTTCGAATAGTCAAGCGTTACTGTCCTCAGACAGTTCTTGTTTTTTATTTTAATGCCGAAAGAGTCCATCACATTGGACTGAAAAGGGAATTTAAATATGTAACTTGTGTACTGATTGTTGTTTTATTATTTTCAGTCAACAAACAGAGAAACTGTACCCTGATGGCACCAAGGAAATAACATTTCCAGACCAGACAATCAAATATATATTTCCAAATGGCTCAGAGGAAAGTATATTCCCAGATGGTACTGTTATACGTCTTGAAAAGAACGGTGATAAAACGATGGAATTTCCCAATGGGCAGAGAGAAATACATACTCAGGAATATAAGGTTTGATATATTTTGTACATTCCTTGAGTGTTGGGCCAAATTAAAGTGAAACAATGTTCTAGTTTAAGGGGCCATGTGAACTCTTGTAAAAGAACAGTTGTTTATAAGTTAAATGGGAATGGTGTCCTAGTGAGAGAGGAATTTGGGCTTAGTGAAAGGGGGGGGGGGGGGGGGGGTTCTTTGTAAAAGTGGAGTGGTGGCCTAGTGAAAGTGAAATTACCTAGTGGGAACAGAATGTAGCCAAGAAAAACTGGAAATTGCATCCTAGTGAAAAGGGGAACAAGATGGCCTAGATATTCAAAAGGGGAGTGGTGACCTAATGAAAGGGGAGTGGTTTCCTAGATAGATAAAGGGGAGAGAGGCCTAGTGAAAATGGAGGTGTTTTCTAGTGAAATGAGATTTGTTGGCTAATTAAAAGGAAGTGGTGGCCTAGAAAGTAAAAGGGGTTATTTTTTCTAGTGAAACAGGGGTGGTGGCCTGTTTCAGGGGAGTGGCAGTCTAGTAAAAGCGGAGTAATGGGCAATTGGTTAACGTGACTATCTGGAAACATAATTTTCAAAAAATATAAGTCCATGTTCTACTCAGGGTATGACCATATTATAGGACAATGTTGAAGAACAAATGAACCTTTGTTTGAACACAATAACAAAGGAACTGTCAATATTTCATGTTAATCCAAATGCAGTAATTCAATGTACATGTATAAAATGTTTTCTGCAAATACTGAATGTAAAGTAAAATAAAATTTTAATTGAAAATTTACTTTTTTCAGAAACGAGAATACCCGGATGGCACTGTCAAAACAGTATACCCAGATGGTCGCCAGGAAACCAGATATTCTAATGGAAGATTACGTGTTAAGGATAAAGATGGAAATGTTATTGTGGACAGACAATGTTAGCATTATTTCCATTTAGAATAATTTGCCTATATTTATAATTGTACAATAGATATTTTTACAGATATTTTTACAGAAGTCCTAGACTAGAGTAAGATATACTTATACATGTTCGATGATTAATTTCTTGCCATATTCTGTTTGTAGAGAAAAATAATTACAGGTTCTATTTAGCCCTAAGCCTGATTCTACCCATGTGACCAATGCAAATTTAGATCATTCTGCACTTGTTGGCCATCTAATTATAGTCTTCACTGTTTGCTATTCAGTCAGTTCTTATTTTGTATACTTTTTTTACCTTTCCCATACATTGATGTTCTTTCTCGATTGAAAGATGACTTAAAAGATTGGCAATTTCCATTTAAGATTTTTAGGTAAGAGGTTAAAAGTAGTCTATAGAAAAACATGATAAATGTACATGTCTTTCATAATTTGAATAAGGTAATTTGTTTGTTTGTTTCATTTTACGCCTTTTCTCAACAGTATTTCAGTCATATAGGCGGGTAGTTTCCTAACCAGGTAAAAGAGATGTAATAACTTACTGTGTTCAACCAAGTCCTCATATATCATGATTTCTTAACATCTTTGCTTCAATGGCAGATAAACTAAACGATTTCAGCTGGACTTTTCATTGTTTACCGGTGCTTTATATGCTACTCATGAAATAACATTTGAATAAGAACTTGCAGGTGTCTTCATATTTATTTGACACTGAAGGTATTCACTTGACATGTGCTCAGTATCATTTGTTGAGGTCATAGGTCAAGACACGTAACTATACATTTTTACTGGATTATACATAAGATTTTCTTTGTGGCAACTTACAAATTACAGGTTTAACCTTTTGGGTGTAAGTTTTATGTCTTCAATCATTGAGGGTGTATGACTGAAGCTTCATTCTTGTCTCTTAAGTAAAATTTGTAGGATCACTTCCCAAGATCCATAACTGTAGCATGCATTTTTAATGAACAATTCCCTTTTGTAGGTCTAGAAAATTTCTGCAGGGCTAAAGTTTTACTAGCAGCAACCTGAAAGTAGTTTAGGGAGCCAACTTTCTGACAGCTATTGTTTACTTTTTTTTGTAATGCTTTGACACATGGTGCTACATAAACTCTGTTTCAATATATTCAGATATAAGACTTGTTTTGGTACAGATATATATATGACATTTTCAAGTATAAC